CCGGGGGTCTGTCGGAGCAGGCTGGGGTGCTGGTGTCACTCGAGGTCACTGGGTTGGCTTATACCCGCACGGCGGGGCCGGAGCCCGTGGTGAGGGGCACGGTGGAGCTGCAGTCATAGTCCAGATCCACCACGGCATGGGAGCTGGCGATGAGGCTGTTCAGGGACGGCCCTGTCTGCCGCTCTCGAAAACTCTGGATGTAGCTCTGCTCAAGAGAGAGAGGACAGCAAGTGAGGGGGGGGTGCACTGCTCCTGGCCCACTCCATCCCACCCTGAGCTCTGCAGCAGCCCCTCAGAACCTGCCCTGTGCAATCCCACCCACCCCAGCAGTCAGGCCTCAGGAGGGTGCACAGCCCCATCCCTTCCCTGGGCACATGCTTCGCACCTTGCCCTCCACCTGCAGTGCTTTTGGCCACCAGTTTACATCTGCTTGCAAGGGCTCAGCCCCTCCTGAGCTGCCCGGCCCCCAGGATGCCTCATCCCTTGAGGAGCTCGGATGCCAGCTGGCACCCAGGCACCTCTCCCCTCTCCACTCCACAGCCTGCCCACATGGAGAAGGAAGGGCCGCAGAGGCCAGGGGAGATCTCTACCCTGGGTGCGGGACTCACGGGGGAGAGCACGTCCCCATCGAAGCGGCGCACAGGGTTGGGCTTGCGACGGTAGGCGGGCTCGGGAGGGGGGGCTTTGTGCTGGTGTGGGTGGTGGGGTCTCCGCTTCTTCTTCTTCTCCTTTCGGTCCTCCCGCTGCTTGATGCGCATCAGCTGCACGCGACGCTGCTGCCGGCTGATGATCACTGCAGGGCAGAGGGGCCTGTGAGCACTAGGGAACATCCCAAAATCCTCCCTGCACCCAAACCAGCCCGGGCTCTGTGCAGCTGGGCCTCCCCTTGAGTGCTGTGTCCCCATAGAGTCCTGAACCCCTTGTTTGTGCACATAAACCAGATGCTGGGAACCCCAACCCATCCCCAGCCCTCCAGCTCCTGCACCCACCCCATGCCACGTCCATCTCCGCCAGCCCCCACACACCTTCAGTGTGGGAGTAGCCCTCGGCTGTGACCTTCCACTGGACCAGGACGCCCAGCGTGGTGAGTAGTGGCCAGACGCCCAGGATGACCCAGCTGTACCAGCACACGGGGCGAGCTGGGGCCACCTTGATGCGCTCGTAGATGTACTGCACCAGGAGGAAGAGCTCGATGAAGTAGTCGACGGTGAC